TTCATTCCTTTCGTCCTCTGCGAGAAGCTGCTGGAGGCTTATTTCTCTCTTAGCGACTGCTTTCCTTGGGGGGGCTTGTTTATTGTGGTTCGTGCGTGTGTGTTTATTTTTACGTGTACAGCTTAAGCCTGCAAGTGCAGGAGATGGTGAGCCTGCTGCTCCAGAGACCCTGCCTTATCTAGAAATCTGTGTGGAGTAAAAAAGAAGATGTAAAAAATGCCTGAAAGGCTGCCTGCTTCTTGAAGTCATAGTAGCAGATCTAATAAAAAGTATTACTTCTACCTCTGAACTTTACAATGAAAAAAAAAAAAGCATGCAGCTGTCAGGAGATCAGTGTGTATCAATCTTTAACTGCTGGCCTAAGGAGCCTGGTGTAAACTATGACATAATATGGTAAGCTGCTATCTTACGGAATTTCTTATGAGGTTGTAAATGGAATAATAGGGAATTAATGCATAGCTTATGTAACCCTCAGTAAACTTGCATGTACTGTTTCTATTTTAAGAAGTCTTATTAGCCTAAACTGGATAATATTACAAACATATTTCTGCAGAGAATTAGACTGCATGTGTCCTGGATCAGCAACCCAAAGTGTTGCATCTTGACTGTAACTTTAAACTGAAAGCTGTTCAAGCAGAAGATCTGTTCTTGTACGTGCAGTACAAGAACACCAGTAGCTAAATAGTGTGCTGTCAGTCTGCTAAAGACTTTTGCTGCTTCTGTGAAAGTAGGTAGTAGAGCTGTGAAAAAGATGTAGCACTGTCTTTTTGGATTGCAGCCACTGCTTTTGAGTACTTCCAGTTTGAATGAAGAGAAGTAGGTGTCCTGTTTGGGTATGCTTAGTGTTGCACGGTCAGTATTGCAGTGCTAGGCACTGCAACTTTCTGCAACTTTGCTGCAACTTTCCCATTGCACTTTATAAATGGCAGCACCCATGGGAGCTGTAACCAGGCAGTAGAAGGTTTTTTTTCTTTTCTAAGTAAATGTTTGTAAGCAATGCTTTGTCAGCAGTGAAGCTGAGACTAGGAAAGATGGTGGTGTGAGGGCTAAACCAGCTGGTTTAGCTCTCAGTGCTGCTTAAGAAGTAAAATAAAACATTCCTGTGTTCTCTTGTATAGCACCTGCAAGTTCGTTTTTCCAGATGACTGCCCCTTTCAGAAGTTTCAGAAATATGCAAACCCAGATTGGATAAATACCAACTTTGACACATACAGAGAACAATACTAGGCGTAAAATGAAGGAAACTATTCAGTTGGTCTTTCCCTATTTTTAGTTTTTGAGTCAGTGACAGCCAAGAAACTTAATCTCCATCCAGTTCCTTACTGTTCACATCAGAAGGCATTATGAGCGTTCTTCTGAGAAGAAAGCACGCTTGTCTTTGTTAACCAGCTGTAATACAGAGAATCAAAGCCCTTCTGGTTTGACCTAGTCGAAAGTACAGCTCATAACCACATAAGCCTGATCAGCTGGGGTTTTCTTGTGGCCGTACAGAACTAAAGGTGTTCTTTTAGCAGCTCATTGAGAGGAAGAGACTGGATGTTTTGCATAATGCCAAATGAGGCTGTCAGAGAGTTAAGGTAGCCTTTAAAAATAACAATGCCCAGGCATAAATTCATAATGAAATTTCACCACTTTCAGATTTTTAAAGGCTACAAGTAGTCTTGGGAGACACCTGTATATTCCTCCTCTTAAGATCTGTCTTCCACAACAGTAATTTTTTCTTCTCTATGAGAACTGACTTGAGGTGCTTATCAAAGATGAATGGATGTATCTTACAATGATAGTACTCTGCTAAAGATGCATTGCAGGACCAAATTAGTTGAGTGACAGGGATTAAATTGCTTAGGTATCATGCGTATTAAAAATGTGTCCAAAAGCAGCCTCATTAACCCCTTAGAACGTGGCATTCCTTGGAATAAAACATCTTGAAGAAGGTAGGAAGATACGATCCTGGACATCAGTCAGCCTAAATGAAGTTTTGTCAAACTTGTAGACACAAAATATGGATTCCCTAAACTGATCACTTGGATGCATGCTCTGTATACCAGCACTGAAGGAGATGAATGTCCTAATCTCTGCCTTTTTCTGGAGAACCGTAGCTTGTTGATCAAAGAAAGAGAATATTTGAATTGAACTGGTGTGCGATCTGGAGTGTGTACAAGAAGGCAGACTATGGAGTTGACTGGGTGGGAGGACAGAACATTGGCACATTTTCAGATGAAAATAGAGATAGGAACCTTTTATTGTTTATATTGAGCATTAAGAGAAGCATAATCTAAGGCTTAGTTCCATAAGCCTTTTTCTGTTCTCAAAGGCCAAGGCAAAGAACATTTCCTGCTGCTGATTTCTGTTGGGCAAGTCAAGACCATAGGCCCCTCATTGTGCAAAGGAGCACTTGCTTTCCTGAGCATAATGCTTTCTGCTATTCCTGGTGTTACTGCATTTAAAAACATAAACTAAGCACTACTGGTTAAGCAATGAAGTAGATCTAAATTAATGGAGACTGAACAATAGGTTTTCAAAGTGCAGCCTTGTCTGAAATTATGCAATTCTTGAGTTACCAAAATTTGTTCAGAGAAAGTGAACAAGTGGAAAAGAAGTGGCATTTTGTTTTCATCCCTTTTGAGTATGTACTTCATCTACTTCCCCTTATATGTCCTCATAAGAGAAACACAGAAAACCCAAAAGATCCTGATGTCTGAAGCTGTGATGAAGTAAGGGCTGAGAGCCTTTGGGCAGCATAACTTTCATCTTTCCACAGTTGCAGTAAATCTGTATTTACGAGCATTTCTATTTTAAAGCTTCTTGCTGAAGTTATCAACATTTTGTCACTTATACTTTACCCTAGAAAGGCATTATGAAACAGTGTCTCTGTAGCCTTTAAAGAGAAAAACATATATTGACTCTAAATACTTTAGGATGTTTTTATCTCTGTTTTGATACCAGGTGAAGCTTGGAAGAAACAAGACATGTGTGAGGGAAGGGAAGCTGGTAGCAGTCGCCTAGTAGATCATGTCAGTTTAGTTTGTATAAAAGAGGTATATTGTTCCTAGAAGTAGAGATGTTTTATGGTTTAAATGATGAACCATGAACCAGCTGAGAAGTTAAGAGATGATTGGTAAAATAAGTTGCAGACAAACACTGGTTTCTGGTGGTACCTGTTACCTGTTTAGTGTTTGGCTTCAAGACTGATTATGGGCACAACTATGGGTAATGTCCGGAAATGGGAGCAAAGAATTACCCATTTGCACTATATAGCATGAAGAAGATTAAAAACATCCAGTGTTTAAAAATCTAGTGCATTTTGTGTTGCCCATTGGGACTTGGTGTCTTGGATGTGGGAGGCCTTCAGCACACAGAAAGGTCCTTTCTGCCACAAGATGTCAGTGTACACATGGTTAAACCCACTGATTCCTCAGTATTTGTAGTTAATAATGTATCGAGGATTGTGTTTTCCTTTGTGCTGAACAAAAGAAAAAAGAAAAGCACACATAGCTAACATAGCTCTTGTGTGGGTGCTAGTTCTTAATTCAGGGGGTTGACAGCATTAGAACTACAAGTAAGCTGTGAAGTCTTGTGCTCAAAAATGGTAACAGGTTCAGGCATCCCTAATGCAGCTAATACCTCAGAAGGAACATGACAATTTCCTCCTCTCTGTAGTTGAAGCACAGCATTATTGTTTATGATTTAGCTAATTCAGTGAATGTGGGCGAGAGAGTGCTGAGACTGTGCCTCTGTAGTTAGCCTGTCTCATTCTTCTCCTTTGACTGTTAACAAGGAAGGTCTAAGACAAAGGAGCACAGACAGATTGACAGCAATTGCTTAAAGATCCATTAATATAGATCTGTTTGAAAATAGTGAGTTCTTACTCACAGAACTTACACTAGCTCTGACTAGAAGACTCACTGAAAGCAGAACTTTCAGTAGTGCCTTCCATAAAGACAAGAAATAATTGCAGGCTTTAATGGGAGAAGTGAGGATCTTCTTCCTTAAGGAGGGAAATGAATGTACTAATCTCTGTCTTTTTCTGTTTATACCTCAAGGTATAAACTGACATAAACTTTAAAATTATGAAGTGAATAGTTTGTGGAGTGTTTATTTTAAAAAGGGGGGAAAAAAAAGCAAAAGCTAAGCCATTGGAAAGTGGGGTCACTGTGGGAGTTGTGCACTTCAGTAAAAACCAACCCAAAAACCAAAACCACAAAGAAATTCAGTAGAAACGATTTCAAAGGGCAGTTGGTTTACTAACCTCACTCATCTTCAGCATCAGATTGCAACTGCTTTAAACTTTTGTATGTGTTGGCTTTGTCTCATAACTGGTTACATGGTGAAGGTTTAAATGTAGTAGTTTATTGTGGTTTTTTTTCTGCAGTTATTAATGTCCTTTTTCCCTGCATCTGTGGAAAAAAATTGGGGCTGTTGGTATCCAACATAGTAAATAAAGGAATCTGTTAGAGAGGAAAATACTTCTTTATACAATAAGGAATCTGGTTTCATGTGCAGTGTATTGTGTAAGTGTTTAAATTTAATTGTGGCTATCTTCAAAAACATAAGCCTTAAACGCTGAAGGAAACCCATCATGATTACTTGGTTTTAAAAGCTTCTTTTTTGAGACTCCAAAACATTAACTTGATCTACCAGAATCACCCTGGAGACTGCTAAAAGCCAGGCACAGGCATTTGCAACTTCCATTAAAATTGGAGGAAATTGTATCTGCTTATATATGGGTGGTATCCAGACTCCTGTCTCTTGTTAAGCAATATCAGGAGATATTGATACGAGAGATTGTGAACTGCATGGAACATAGCTGCCTGTTTTGGAGTATCCTGATCCTTGTTAGATACGGTGATGCCTTAAGCTCAACTGCAGTTTCTGCTTCTTGAAATGTAGCAAAAAACAGTAAGAGAATCTTTTATCACACAACAAGTATGGAGAAGGTAATAATAAAAGTGACCTGTGGCCTTAATTGAGCCTTAAGTTTTCTTTTTACTTAAATCCAGGTTTGCAAGCGAATGGACTTGGTTTGCCAGAGGATGTTAAATCAGGGATTTCTGAAAGTGGAACGGTACCACAACTTGTGTCAAAAGCAAGTTAAAGCTCAGCTTCCAAGGTATGTAACAGTTAAAACTGTACTTATATTTAAGCAGAATATTGGAAAGGAATTTCTTGCTGGCTGATTCTGCTTATATATATCTCTTGGAAAATTTGGGTCACAATTGGTTTTATTTCTTTTTTTTTTTTTCCAAAGCACCTTGAATTTAAGCTCTAATTACAGAATAATGGTGTGGATGAATGTAGGTTGTCGTATACTGTGTACAGGAATATTGGAAAGTGTCTCTGGTACTATAAACAGAGAAAAGAGTGGATCTCTATTACCCATGTCTTGTGGCAAATCAAGCAAGGACTCCTAGGAATTAATAAATGCCATTCTTTTTCAAGACCAACTCCCTTTATTTATGATCTATCTATTACTCTGCTTGAACAAAATGGCAAATTTTTTTCAGTGCCAAGGATTAAACAGGGAAAGGGAGTGGAGTTTGACAAGTGAGCGTTACTGGGAGCTAGTTTCTCACTTAAAGCAATGTTTTTTCTCCTCTTTATAATGAATTAAGTGTAGAAGCTGCTGTGTCCTATCAGATTTCTCAGAGTGAAGAGACTAAATGCTGTTTATTGTAGAAATCCTTTGTCAAAATAACTTATATCTCAACCTCACTTTTGTAGCAAGCGCTATTAATATATTAAATCTCTCAGTTGCATTGAAGTATTAACTGTGGGAATATGGGAGGATAAAAATATTCACACTGACTTAGTGCTTACTGCTAGTTAGTACTGAAAGTTTGTTTTTAAATAAATAAGTTATATGTGGAGTTTACAGATCACATAAGGTGATTATTTAGAGAACGGATTCTTTCTCAGAGAGCGAAGTATGCTATTACTAGTTGGCTCTCAATCTGCAGGAGGTTATTTCCATAAAGACAGAACTGATGTTAGTGGTTATGTTTTCAAACCTCAGAGGTTTGTACAGGTGAAATTAACTTGAGTGATTTTACCGTTTCATTTTGCTGACTCATTGTTAAATCAGTGCCACTTAATGGTCTGTTTTCTAGACGAGAATCAGAAAGAAGAAACCATTCATTAGCTCGTCATGCAGACATCCTTGCTGCTGTAGAAACAAGGCTCTCTCTGTTAAATATGACTTTCATGAAGTATGTGGATTCCAATCTCTGTTGCTTCATACCTGGAAAGGTAAAACATGTTTTATTAAGTGAATGTATACCAACATCTAAAAAGTATGATTATGTAACTTGGGACAGTTGAGACAAATATATATAATGTATATATGAAACTGTGTTTCGTAACTTGCAAACAAACACCCAAACCAATGCTCTGTTATAACAGGCAGTCTGAAATGAATGAACCAGACTGTATCTAAATATTAGTTATTTTAAACTCTATTTCAGTTTTCCCTTAGATTATTTCTTAATTCTGATGTTTGAATTATGCAACCTTTTACAAGAAACAGATGATAGGTAGGGTTTAATTCTCAATTTTAATTCCACAAAACGGCTGGAGCCCAGGTCGTCAGAAGATGTAGTAATTTAGACTACACATAACACTAAGCACATAGTCAATCAGGAAGATTTTAGGCACCTTTCTTAAGGATTTGAGTACTTCAGATTATTTGAATTAAGGTATTTAGTATGGGGAAACATTATGCAGTATTTCAGTGAATGGGATATTTTTGTACAGTTGGTGAAATTAATTTTAATGACTACTACTGAACAATTCCAGTGTTTCAGAATACTACCCCAACATAAAATACAAATTATGCAAGCGGGATGTACATCAGAGATAGCACTGGTTTATAAGCTGTGATAATGGAAGTGCTATGGGGAATTGACAAAATCATGATCTGAGGAGGACTGGTACAGCTCAGGGTTGAAACAAGATCTGTGCTCATTAGCCTAATGCTCTATTCGTTGATCTTTCCATTTGGAAATGGTGGTTGTTATTAATTCTTCGTGGGCACATAATGGAATTTCACTAGGCTGAGTAGAGAATTTAGCTGTTGGGTTCAAGTGAAGCATGGCAGGCATTTCTCCAGGACAGTGGGATAGACCGTTGGCATGAAATGTATTTTTATCTTAAAGAGCGGGTAACTTGTCTTTATACTCTTGTTAATGTGATATTTAATTTTAAATCATTATAGTTAAAGATATTTATCTTATTTGACTTTATATTTTTATATATGCCATGTATTTTAAAAAATGTAATATAAAGTTAAACTTAAGTCCTAGATTCTCACATGATAAATGGAATACTTAAAAGAAATACTGCCTTACTTTTGTGAAGAGTAGTCAGGAAGGCAATACTCAGCTAGACCTGGGGTGTGCAGGAGTTGGACAGGTGAGCTTGCCAGCCATTTCCCTTGTGGGTACCGAGTCATATGGACCTTGTTTGTATTCTAATACAACAGCTAAAAAGGGGTGTGTGTATTATTTACTTAGTGTACGAGCTTACTTTGTCGACAGAATCAAAGCTCAGAGTTCACTTACAGTCTGGTTCCCCCGCGAAATTTTGTTTGAATGAAGCTGCCACAGAATTGTCAGGAAGTGAATTTGTGTCAGAATATGTGAATCCGGATTTGAGGTTTGGCATACTGCTTGAGGGCTCCTGGTGATATCAGAGCACTGCTACAACATTTTCAATTGAGGATGCTTTAAGGATGTTGTTGCTAACAGGATATAGTGTGGGTTAAATTAGAGAAGTCTTTTATAAGCTCATTGTGTGATGAGATTTTTGTCTAGCTTTTGCAGCTTTTTAGCTAAGTTTCCCTCATTAGAACACAAGATGCAACTGTATTGTTTTACTTACGATTCTCAGTCCTTAATAGCTGTGCTCTTCAGGAGACTCTTCAACCATTCTTAACTCAGTGTCAGTAGTTTTGGTACTAAGAGACGAGCACTCCTATTCATAGATTAGCAAGACACCTTTTGTCTTTATCCTACTGAAAGGGCTTGCTTGTCAAACCTGTTAAGAGGGTGCTTATGTTCTCTGCCAGTAGTGGATTGATATTTTGTAAAGTAATATGTTTTGGACTTAATCAGAATTTGGAATATTTTGGGTGTATGCAAGTGGACTTGGATACATATTTGCAGCAGTTCACACTGGCATAATTCTTGCTACTCCATTCATGTGTTCATAACTTACTGGGGAATTGACTTGCTTCAGGTTCTCCAGAAAGAAATGATTATGCTCTACTGAGTATAGATTATGAAAGTCAAGTATGGATGTAGTGAAACAACATTTCACACAATGAGCCTGATTCTCTGAGTTTGAAGAGAGTTGTTATGACAGATTAAGTGAAGAGCTTCTCTGATATATTACGAACAGCACTTCATCTCAAAAAGCTGATCTAGAACTAAGCACATGGTGTATGCAATAGTTATGTAGTAAAAGCCCCTGAATATGCCTTCTAGAATGGTCTGAAATAATCTTGCCTTTACTATAAAATCCTAATTCTTCTTAAATGTTTTAGGTAATAGATGAAATTTATCGTGTGTTAAGGTATGTAAACTCTACAAGAGCTCCTCAGAGAGCTCATGAAGTTCTCCAAGAACTAAGGGACATTTCCTCCATGGCTATGGAATATTTTGATGAGAAGATTGTTCCAATACTGAAAAGAAAGATGCCTGGGTCAGATGTATCAGGACGGCTGATAGGAACTGCCCCAGGTATTAATTCCATTGTAACATTAATCTTGTTTTTCTGTTAAAAATTACAGCACTCTATCTTTTCAAAGCTCCCTCCCTTAAATGTGAGCTTTATTACATGAACATTGATGATACTTGTTTCTTAGGAATGCTAACTGGAATTCATTTGCTCTGAAATTTAAGGAGCCTTTGTACTACCAAAAGAACAGTCACTTGAATGTATGTTAGAATTCTCCATAGTGTGTATTCATGAAACAAATGCTTTTGTGCCACTAATGAATGAGACACTATCACTGCATTTGGTTGAAATTTGGCACATGAGATGACAACTTGATGCCTTTTATTTTTTTTAGGACAATTGGCAAATGAATTAACCTAAGCTGTTGTAGTGCATAAAGGACTAGAACATCCTTGTATGTGCTTTTTTTTTTTTTTTTTTTAACTTTCCTGGGGCACTAATGTATACACCAACATGCAAAACATGCTTATAAGCAATAGTTAATGAAAATGCCAGTCTATGAACAACCAATTAAACTGGTCCTTCTGTCAGACTTTCCAGAACTTTTGTGAACTCAAGTCTAAGGTAGTTGTCTCATATAATTGCCAAAAGCAAAAGGCTGGTATCTGCATTGTTTTCCCTGTGCTGAACATCTTCATGCTTCTTGGGGGCTGTAAAATTAACTCCCTGAAAAGATAATGTAATATAAATGAAAAAACATTACATCTTAAGTAAAAACAATAGGCCTAACTGTGGGAGCTGCTTGTTTTCTGGTATGTCCTGTTCACCTTTTAGCCATCAGTTTGTATACTACCTCTTAATTATATCCTGTTGCTTATGCCTGAAGTCCATTGAGTCTCTCAGTCGAGGAAGATTGCCCAAAAACATAGTTGATGTCAAGCAGCTTTTCAAGGCCAAGCCTTCGTGTTGCATAAGAATACCTCTCTTGTGTTGAGGGAGGACCAAAGCCCCCTTAATGGTGACCCTTGAGTGTCACATAACGATAGCCATGCTGCCATCCTAACAGGAGGAAGAGGATGTTCCCGTAGGCTGCTCCAGACTATACTGTCTGTGCAGCACTTAAAAATTGCATCTTACTTGCAGAGGACACTACTAGAAGAGTAAAGTGATAGACACCTTGTGTGATAAAGTGATATGTACCTTTTACAATAAAGTATAGACACCTCATGATAGACAAAGTGATAGATACCCTATGATGAAGTGACAGACACCTTTTATCAATTTATCTAAAGTGATATATAGAGATAAATCCCTTAGGATAGTGATAAATGCTTCTTATGATACGTAAAGTAATAGATGATTTTTACGATAAAGTGATAGATGCCTTTTATGATAGTGATAAAAACCTTTAAAGTGACAGATACCTCTTATGATAATGTGATAGACAATTTTACGATAGTGATGAACACCTTTCATGATACATAAAATGGTAGATACCGTTACGACAGATAAAGTTATAGATGCCTTTTGGAAAGATAAAGGAGTAGATACCTTTTACAAAAACAGTGCTATACAGCTCTTACAACTAAGTGATAGATGCCTTACAGTAAATGAAGTGACAGAAATTATAACGTAGCTCTTAGTCTCCTTGATTTACAGGATGTTTATTAAAATCAGGAGTCCCAAGCACTAAACCCAGTTTGGTTTTAGGATTTAGGAAGCGTCGTTGTGAAAGACAGAAAGTAAAGCATGTTCTTCCGAAAATTAAGTTAAACAGTAGTATCTTGTTAAGTCCCAAACTATAAAAAAGTGATAGATGCCTCTTATGATAAAGTGATGGACACCTGTTATGAAAGATAAAGTGACAGATGCCACTAATGATAGATAGGTGATAGATGATGCT